TGCCTAACTGTAGCATTTACCCTACAACATTTCAATTGAAATAAACAATATTAAAGTATCTCTTAAATAATCATTTTTCAAGTGAATGATCATTTTAATAACTTTCCATAGGTTGAGGAAAGAATGTGTGAGTTTCAAGCAGAAGTCCGCAGATCAATAAATGAATTGGTCGTTTAGGCTACTGTAGTTTAAAAAACGGTTGAAGATAAAATATTTTAAACTAGTGTCCCTGTTGCTCGAATTTGAGCAATTGCTAAGTATTACAGGCGTTATTTTAAAACGAACAACAGTCATAATTTCTGATGACTTTAAAAGATTTGACTCAAAGATTATTGAAATACTCATGATGTACGTAACAGATCGATATAATCACAATTTCTTGTAAATGACTTCTCTCATAATTTTTCAAAAGCTGATCTTTTTTTTTAGTGTTTTCTTCAAATAGCCTTACTTATAGCCGCAGTAGATTGTCAATAATAACGATTATAAATTCTTAAAAAAAAAACATTATTTCTATTTCTTCTCTTTGGTGGTGTTCTATGACTTTCCTATGTTTCTATAGTTTGCAAATCGGCTCCTTCAATGATTACTAGGGGTCTCAATCCGATTTTTGATACCTAGAAATCCCAGGATTGGTGACTTTTAATCCCATGAAAAATGGGATTGCAAAACCTGTTTATATAGGCTACATTTTTTGTGAATTTGTGGACTTTTACTTATGGAAAATAAATAAAAATGCGTCCAATAACACTTGAAACACAAAATCTTTATTTTTAGGACGATACATATATATGTAATGGTATAAGTAATGATCTATTTTGATTGGAAAATTAAATTATCATTAAACTCAATAGGCGAACGAATGTAAATATATGTTTCAGTTTTTGTTTTTAGACGATTTGGATTTACTTTCTGTAAATGTTATTACATTATTTATAACTTAACTAGCTGTACCCGCGGTCTTTGCCCCGTTTTATTTCATAAGTGAGCTCGTTCGCATGGCTCAATCACGTCCTGGTTGAAGTTCCTTCGCTACGCTCACTCGCCTTTAGGTTGGAGCTCGTTCGCTGCGCTCACTTGCCTTCAGGTTAGCTCGTTCGCTACGCTAACTCGCCTCCAGGTTGAAGTTCGTTCGCTACGCCCACTCACCTTTTGGTGGCAAATTAGCTGTTGTCATAAATAAAAAAAATAATAGTGCTGCACCCTGTTGGTAATCCTTGTAACTTTAATGCTATTGCACATCATAGAACAAAACCAACTTGTTTAATTGAAACAGCTGTTAAGATTCATTAATTCCATTTAAATATGAGTACTCATAAGGTTGACATGGGAGGGAAACTCCAGAGCCACTGGAGCGGAGCCCGAGAGTCCGATCAGAATAAAAACAACTTAGTTTTCCTATTTAATGCCTAAAGAATCAGTGTACCAAATTTCAGCCTCATAGGTAAATGGGAAGTGGGAGGATTAGTGATGAGTGAGTGAGTGAGTGAGTCAGTCAGTGAGGACTTTGCCTTTTATACAGGGTGAGTTTTGATTGTCCCCCCCAACTTTTTTATACATTTTTTCAAATATTTACAAACTAAGACCATAATCTCAAAATACTGCTAGATAAAGATAAGTATACACTACCAGTCATTGCCCACCTATTTCCACTTGGTTATGAATGATGTATTTTTTTCCGCCGCCATCTTGGATCGGCCATTTAGAAATGTGATAAATTATTTTAAATATAAAAGGGGTGTTGTGACCCATCATTTCGGATTACTTTTTTAAGCTGAACTCAATTCCATGATCCATTTTTCATTTTTATATTTTGATTTTGAAATATTAAGATTTTTAACAAAAATATTGCAATATTTCATAAATAAAACTTGATAACAAAAAATGGATTGCGGCATTGAGTTTAGCTTAAAAAAATAGTTCAAAATGATGGGTCACAACACACCCTTCATACTAAAAATAATTTATCCCATTTCAAAATGGCGGATCCAAGATGGCGGCCGAAAAAAATACATCAGTCATAAATAAGTGAAAATAGGTTTACAATAACTGGTAGTGTATACTTATATTTATCTAGCACTATTTTGAGATTATGGTCTCAGTTTGTAAATACACAATGTTAAAATGGGCTAAAAATATAGTTTTAAAAAGGCCTCATAACTTTAGACTGAATCAAGATTTTTTTTTAAACGGTTTGCGGCATTGTCATCAGGGTAAAAATCTAGTTCGAAATAATGGGTCACAACCCCACCTTTACATTTGAAAAAAATATTTTGCATCCAATATGGCGGATCCAAGATGGCGGCCGGAAATGACCACCTTGTCAAAATGAAGTACTTACTACCCAACAATGTTTGGAAGTGGTCTGGGATTGATATTTTAAAAAATGTAGAAAAAAGTTGGGGGGGGGGCAATTAAAACTCACCCTGTATATATAGATTACAGTAGGCCTAAGGCCTATAAGTTATTTTGAGTTTTACTTATGACATTAAACGTAAATAACGCGTGTAGCAAACATAACATTAATTGCAATCAGAAATTGAAATATTATTTTCATTGAAGCCATAAAATATAAATATAAACACCGCATTATAATTTCATTATAAGATTGCTTAGGGTCTACAACTTTATCTTCGTTTTTGGTTATTAGTGTTGTGATTAAATTTCTTACAATCCTAAATTAAGTTTTTCATACACACGCTACTACCGGTACATAAGCAGATGGTTTTTACAGTATCTTTATTGTTTTATTGCTGTCAGTCAAAATAACATTTTTACGCTGCTACTCGTGATTCTTCCCATTTTAGCGAATTTCCCATATAGGGAATAAGCTATTACTGTAGTACTCATCGTAAGACCTGGACCCGGAACCGATATAATTTTTTGTTTTGAGGTCCCTAAAGGCCAAAAACACAATACGTTCAAATTCATATATATATTAACATATATATATATTTATATATATAATATAAATATATATAATATATATATATTTAATATAAATATATATATAAATAATATGTGGCCGTTTATTATATACATATATATATGTCCGTTAGCGCGATAACTCGAGCAAAAATGATCCGAGTTCGATGAAATTTGGTACGAATGTGTAAACCTACATAATATAATATATACATATAATATATATATAAAATAATATATATATAATATAAATAAATATATATAATATATATATTTAATATTAATATATATATAAATAATATGTGGCCGTTTATTATATACATATATATATGTCCGTTAGCGCGATAACTCGAGCAAAAATTATCCGAGTTCGATGAAATTTGGTACGAACGAAATTTGGGTTGTTTATTCGAACCAGTTCGCGAACCAGCATAATTGGACCATGGGAACGGGGGTTTATGGGGGGGTTTTATGGGTTAAAAATGGGTTTTTCCCATTTCTGACCTTAAAAACAAAAAATTTTGCAATTTCTTTTTAGTCCGGTTTATAGAGATTAAAAAAAGAAATAATTTAGTATATTGAAGCGCTGTTGTATGCCTAACGGTCACGGAGAAAATTCAAAAATAGTATGATTTAAAATTCCCATGTTATTCTTATAGAGAAAATGAAAACTGTTGTAGTTTACTTGTTTATATATGTTGATATATGTGGATATATGTTGATAAAATTTGACAAACTTATTTATTTCATCATATACTATTGATGTATGGTCAATAAACACTTTTTACCTTCCCCGTAGCAGCAAACCTAAGCACTCGTTAAATCAAATGTTATTTAGAATGGGAATAAATATGTCTTATTCATGGAAAATTTTAGTAAAAACGTAATCAGACAAGTTGAAATTCGCTTAGTCTGCAGGTTTTCAGCGGCGGGGGTATTATCTTTATATCTTAGCTATCTTTAATCTATCTATTAGCGTGACGTATAGGCTACGTGCGAGTGCTGTTGCTCGTGATTTTTTTAAATGTATTTATTATATTCTAGAGTGACATAACAACATTTATACACTGTAAATAAGAAAGACGGGTGATGAAAGTTCGGCGAAATTCCGCAGTGTAACACATGGTAAGGTCAGTTTAAAACATTAAAGTACTCAACGAGGGGACTTCTCGCTCATTTAAAATGGCTAAAAAGTTAAAATTCATAATATTGTATAATCCCGGGATCGGCTGAGACGAATCCCGGAATTGGATTGAAGGCCCGGGATTGAGACTCCTAATGATTACCTACTAAGAAATGCAGCAAAGTGTTAATTCAGTTTTCTTTTTAGTATATAAATTTATCCAGGCTCTCTCGCTTTTTCCATTGTAATATTCATGCAAACCCAAATTCATATAGTAAATATTTCATTTTAACCAAGTCATTAAATGTTTGTAGCAAAATGTCAAATTAGCAAACTTATTTACTATTTACAATTAACATATGTTCTTCTTCTCACTTTTAATTTCTGACAACAGCTGGAGTTTCATAACAATGTTTGTTTCCCATGTTAATCTTATGGAGAAATACAAAACTTTAAAAGGCCCCAGGGCCTCACTCTCTAATTATTTCCCTAAAAAGAAAGTTTCCTGCACAACTTCACGTTACGCTCTTTCCAATGACACCAAAAACATGTCAATTGGTTTAGTAGTTTCGGAGGAGTAATTGTCACAAAAAAAACCTGCTTGCGTATTAAATAAGTATATATATATATATAGATGCTCTATCGTTAATTTAAGTTTTAATAATTATTCATGTGGACTAGACATGTTCTGTCACCAATCAAATGTTTACACCTTGTTACCTTCTTCAAAGTTGTAGAGTACGGTATTTTTGATCTTTAGATTTATATTTTGGCGTCCCCATCTCATAATGATAATAATATTCTCTAATATTCACCACAGTTAATTTCTACTTGTTAGTCACACAACTGTGCACAAGTGCAATTTCGTTTCTTGTGAAATAATCTTTGAATTGAATATTAATTTTAATAATTCCAGTTAAGTAGGTTAGTAATTTATATCTTATTTTATTGTATGTAAATTTATTAAAACTATTTACAGAAAATATAATACAATGCCTTACTTTATAGTTATTAATTAGGTACTTTTATTATTGGTATGATATATAAAAATAATTATACATTAAATGTTTCAATCCAAACACCTAAGCAGTGGCAGATCCAGGCTTTTCGGGACCCTGGGCAATAAACTTTGGTGGGGCCCTACTAACCGGGGGTTCTTGGGGTCCTCCCCCAGGATTTTTTGAAAAAATTAGCCCTAAAAATGTCTTTTTGAGGCTTAATTTTAAACAACACATAAGTAATACTGTAAAAAGACTTAGTTTAAAAACATTCAAAAATCCTGGGAAAATCTAAAATTTAAATAAATTGAGTGACAAAGACTTTCTTTAGGCGACAACTTTCACTAAAACATACATACAGAGAATGGCTTTACTTTGTTGAGGGCACATTGTTGTGTTTTAATAAATTTAAGATTCTGACACTATTGATATCTCCTGCCAATCACGTATTGTAATGCTTTAATTTCTATGCACAAACACATTTTTTTATGTTGTTAGCATATTTACAACTATTTTAGTTTCCAACAATAAACTTGATATTTTCTCAAGCTTCTCATGTTTTTTTTTTTAAACAGATTCACGAACCTTCAAAAGGATTGATATTTACTATTGACAAATAAAATATATAACAGGTCAACTGATTCTGTGACTCAAGTTTGATACAAGAGTATTTATCTAGCATTGTCTTGACATTGCTCAATCTTGCACGGGTTCTTGTTTGATTTGGATTGGGTTGGGGAAGAGTCCAGAGAAGAGTTTGCTGAGATTGATGACAGAGTAGCCGCTGATGCTGAGTGTGCGACTGACGTGTTCCTTGAGTGTTGCGTACATGTTGAATGTCTCAACACTCACTCTGAGTGTGTTGTGTGGTGGCTTAGAGATGTCAAACACATGCTGCAAGTAGCTCAGCTGAGTGTACAGCTGCTTCTCTGTGTACTGTAATAGAAAAGCAGATTAGCTATTACAATGTCATCATGACTGCAATCAGTAATCGTTGATTGCTCCCAAAACCACGGAAATATCACACGCTACAGCGAGAGAATCTTGAACATCTCCAGTGTTCGCCGCCACATTGGGAACATCGAACACAATGGTGGAAAAAGTGTAGAAATCTACACTGATCATGGAGACGTCATATTTGTTACCCAACCCACTATATTTTTTTCGTGTTCATATAATATATCTTTCTCCCTTTCAAAATATCCAAAAAAATGTGGGACTCTTCCATTTTTAGTTTGCTTTAATCCTTTATATATTTAATATTTAATGTGTTCCAATTTTGTCCATTGTGGGAAAGTCTATTGTAGTGATGTATGAATTAATCGTCTGCCTGCAAAGTACAACTGTCTTGTATACTTTTTCTTGAAAAATCTAATTTGGATATTTTACTATCTGGGTGGGATCTGGTCCCAATTGATCTGGACATTTCTACTGTATACCTATTTTAGCGAGTTACATTATTTACGATTCAAGTCCAAAATACTTTTAGGACTACATACTTCTCGGTACATGTTGTTTTTGCCACAGAGGGAGCAGACGGGGTAGTAGTTCTCAAACCTCAGTGGGATCCGACGGGTCCTCTGGCTACAGGCAGGGTCTTCACAGATCAGCCAGCCCTGCAGCAAGGACAGATTACATTGATTATAACTACTTTCACAATCACACAGACAAATTTTTAAATTAAGATCGTTAACAAGGATTTTAATTTTTGAATTTGTCTGTGATATCCAATCTTAAAAATGTAAAAGTAAACGAATGTTAGGTGAGATCTATAGTGCTGGACCAAATTTATTTTATCTAGAGAGATGTTGGTTTGCGGTGTATTACTGTACTATTACACTACTGTCAGGTCAAAAAGTATAGATACTCGAGTTTGAGCTTTTATTGCAACGTAACCAGTAGACTTAGAAAAATACAAGTTACATCATAATTTTACAAATTTATTCCTACGTTTATGTGTGTAGGCTAAAAATTTATTATGCAGTTTCAACCCATCCTTTCAGCGGGTTGAATGAAAAAAGTACACGTTTTTCGGCACTTTTCTAACAACGGGCTACTTTAAAATTTTATAACAAAAAAACTACTGATTTAATCGTCTGACAGCCTTTAGAACATATACTTATAGTGGATATATGTACAAGTATATGTTCTAAAGGCTGTCAAAGTTTCATGACGATTAGATCAGTAGTTTTTTTGTTATAAAATTTTAAAGTCGCCCGTTGTTAGAAAAGTGCTGAAAAACGTGTACTTTTTTCATTCAACCCTCTGAAAGGATGGGTTGAAACTGCATAATAAATTTTTAACCTACACAAATAAACATAGGAATACATTTGTAAAATTATGATGTAACTTGTATTCGAGTATCTATACTTTTTGACCTGACAGTAGTTATCTATTCAAAATAACTTTCAAATAAAATTATCTTTATTCGAACTGTGGAAACATACATGAATAGTCACAGAATCAAAAAACACAAACAAGTACATTGTGTTTTTTATTTTATTTACATAAATCTATGCAATGCAATCCTTTATCCATGGTTTTAATTTTTTACTTTTTTGGTTGATTATACAGGGTGTCTGTGAAAAACTTCACAGGATTTTTCCTTGGGTTAATACAAGAATATTTTACACTATAAACATGGGCCGCCACAGCCTCATTTTCAGGTTGTCTGCCTGTATGTGATTTTCACAAATGAATCCATAACTTTTGAAATCCTTAAGCGAATGACTTGAAACTTGGTACGTAAATAGTGACAGGTAAGGCTAATCATTGTATAAAGTATCAGTTTTATAAATTGTACGAATCCAAAATGGCTGCCATTTAAGAATTTCTTTCTTAAATAACTGGAAAACCTTTGATTTTACAAAAAGTTTACTAGAATAACTTTTTTAAGGCAATTTAATTAGGAATCGATTGACACCTTATTTTATTAAGATTGGATGAATATTGACTGAGATATGGCAGCTTTAGTGATACGTGACCACTAGAGGGTTAGTTGCAGTGCATACCGAGGCATGCGGCTAAAGTCTGCTACAACAATGCAACAGTCTTCGTTTGCTTTGCAAGTTACTTTTAAGCGATTTAAGATTATTTCAAACAATAATAAAATATGACATAACCCTGAAAGTATCTTTTTGTGTAACAATTATCTATTAGTATGGTTTAGAAGTTCCACACCTTTTTACTGTCTTTAAAATTAACACAAAACATCCAAACCTTTTGTATCAGCTGTGGTGAAGTCAACGTACATGTTTACAAACTAATCAGCTGATTGTATTGTTGTCTGAAAATTCTATTATTTATTCATTGATAAATGTTATATTTACAATCATTTTTAAAGTGTACACTCAGTGTAAAAGAGTAGAGGAACTGACTTTATTGAATAAGTCTATGAATAAGAACTTTATGTAATATTTTATTATTGTTTGAAATAATCTAAAATCGCTTAAAATAACTTGCAAAGCAGACGGGGACTGTTGCATTGTTATGGCAGACTTTAGCCGCATGCCTCGGCATGCACTGCAACTAACCTCTAGTGGTCACATATCACTAAAGCTGCCATATCTCAGTTAATATTCTTCCGATTTAAAAAATAAGGTGTCAATTGATTTATTGATTTATTATTTTATCAATAATTAAATTGCCTTAAAATGTTATTTTTGTAATTTTTGTTGTAAAATCAACGGTTTTTGAGTTATTTAAGAATGAAAATGTTAAATGACTGCCATTTTAGATTGGTACAACTTATAAACCTGATACTTTGTGCAAAGATTAGCCTTACATGTACCAAAGACTTACGTACCAAGTTTCAAGTCAATCGCTTAAGGAGTTCGAAAGTTATGTATTCATTTGTGAAAATCACATACATACAGACAGCCGGAAAATGAGGCTGCGGCGACCCACGTTTATAAAATATTCTTGTATTAACCCAAGGAACAATCATGTGAAGTTTTTTGACAGAGTTCACAAACACCCTGTAAACAAGTGGGCTAAAAATACAAGTTTATTAATTTCCTTTACCAGAAATTGTAGTTTTTAGCGAATTTCCCTATAGGGAAGTAGTTATTACAGTAGGTGTCACGGTAAGACCTGGGCCCGGGACAAATATTCTTTTTCATTTTGACATCCCTAGAGGCCAAAAACACTATTTGTATTGTGAATCCGTGGATCAGTTTAAGTTGTAAATAGGTTTACCTGCATTTAATCTAAGTTTAAGTTAATAATAAGTTGAATAAATTAAGAGTTTGAGTTTTTGTTAACTTTCTTTCAGTATTATTTACAATACAAATTATTTCCATAGAAACCAAAATTAAAAACATTAAGAAAATCTCAGCTGTCTAAAGACATTGCTTTAGCACACTCCCACATCCTTGGTTGTTCTGGGCCCCTTTTTTCTTTCCGGAATTCACGTCAGAGACTTCAATGGGATACAACAAGTTAATAGGTCTGGTGATGTATTTTTCAGATTCTAACTTTAATATGGCACTTCTTACGTTTCCATCAGCACTGACGTTAAGGACTTCTATTTTCGCAAGTCGCCATGTCCCTCTGGATAATGTGTCATGAACATGAACTACATCACCAACTTGTGGATGTTGTGTGGACAGAATTCTTCCTTGTTTGATATTATGTTGAGTTCTCTCCCTTAAACTCAACAGATAGTCTTTCTTCCAAATCTTCCAAAAGCTATTTAAGTTGTTGGTTCCCTTTTTCCACATCTGTAATAAGTCCGATTCAGTCACTTTGGAAATAAACTCCATGTTGTTTTCTTGAAGTTTATTTAAACTATTTACAAAACCATTTTTTCCATGGAAGTTGAGGAATAATAAAGTCAGTCAAACTTTGATCTGAGGAAGATACATAAACTAGTGGTCTTGAGTTGACAACAGCTTCTATTTCAATCATCACAGTGTCGAGTTGTGATTTAGTCAGAGTAACTGCACCAATACTCTTTCTTAAACATCTCTTTATCAAAGATATCAACCTCTCGTACATTCCTCCCATCCAAGGGGCAAACTCTGGGATGTAAGTAAATTCGATGTGGTTTTCACTTATATAAGACAGTAATTCTGGTGTATCGAGATGTTCAACAAACATATCATTCAAGAACGAGGAAGCCTTCTTAAACTGAGTTGCGTTGTCCAAGTAAATCTTCTTCGGAGTGCCTCTTCTTCCGACAAACCTCCTGAGAGATAGTAAGAATTCTTCTGATGACAAGTTATTAGCGATCTCTAAATGAACAGCTCTCGTGACTAAACAGGTGAATATGCAACCGTAAACTTTCGAAACTTCAACTCTAGAATCTTGAAAGGATTTAACGTAAAGAGGGCCAAAGTAGTCAAGTCCTGTAAATTGAAAAGGTATACTTTCAGTCACCCGTTCTGTTGGGAGAGAGGGTATTTGGGGCAGCTTGTATGGTCCACCTTCGTATTTTAAGCATTTCAAACATTCTCGAAAAACCCTGTTGACTTCAGCTCTGCCATGAATTATCCAGAAGGATTTCCGAAGTTCTGAGAGAGTTTGTTGCACTCCCATGTGAAAAATCTTACAGTGACACTCTTCTATGAGCAGTTGAGTAAATAAATCGTTCTTTGGTAGAAGTATAGGGTACTTGCAATATTCTTCAAGGTCTGCATTTGAGATCCTACCCTTACATCTGATAAGTCCATTCATATCAACGAATAGGCCAAGTTGGTTCTGCAATCTATCATACCTACCATCTCTTATATTACTTAGTGTTTCACTAAAACAAGTGTTTTGAACGTGTTTGATCCACGATAAACGAGCATCTTTGAGTTCTTCAGATGTAGGAATAACATGATTTGGTCGTTTATTCCGTCTGCATCCACTTATAAACCTTTTACAAAACACTGTTGTCAAAATCAGTTTCGAAAGTAATGAAAACCTTTGTATATCTATTCCAAAAGGACTAGTTTCACTCACGTCTTCGGTCTTTGTAGTCAAGGTGACGACGTTTTCTTTAATAGCTTCAACCATATCGTCTTCAGTTAATGGCTTGTTAAAATCAGAAGACCAATCCGGCCACAAGTCTTGACTACAAGACAGCCATTGTGGACCTGACCACCATTCATTGCAGTGTTTCAGATTATCCACCGTTTTACCTCGAGTCGCCATATCAGCTGGATTTTCGTCAGTAGGAACGTATCTAAATTGCATCTTGGTGTTGGTTTTGATCTCCATTACTCTTCTCTCCACAAACTTAGGAAGCAGCTTTGTTGTGTTAATCCAATGTAACACGCATTGTGAATCAGTCCACAGTATCTTATTTACAACAGGAAAATTTAAGGATTCTTCCACAAAACGACAGCTAATGTGTTTGTAATGCTCTTGTCCCAAAGTCAAAGCCGAAAATTACCCTTCCAAGACTCGAACTTTTAGGCGTGTTGATTGGAACAAGAGCATTACGTCCTAAACAGATTACAGACGAATGGTTTGACATACAGAGATGAAACAAAACTTTTCCCCACTAATTCATACCCAAGGAACAACGTAAACATATTTTTACCATTTTTAAAATACAGGGTGTTCAAGAAACTGGGGGTCATGGGTTCGAATCTCCGAGTTTTCAAATGTAAACATATGTCATATTATGCATCATTTTAAAGCTCTAGACTAGACAAACAATTTGGTGAAAACAGAACTCTTTTATCTTTGTCCGTTTCAAAATGGCGGCCATTTTTATAGAAAATATTGATACTTACAGAATACCCTGTATCTTGAAAACCACTAAACTTATTTTCGTTCTGTTTAAAAATTCTTAATCCTCGTAGGTTCAGCTTTAATTTGATATACAACAAGTCAACATTTTAAAAACTAAATATTTTTTCTATGATTTTAATTTTTTTTTAAGTTGGTAGCCTTGTAAATGAAAATTTTTAAATGGCAACATATGTAAAATTGTGTATCATTTTTAGGGTCTTGTAAAAACAAACAACTTTTGAGTTTAAACCTACTGTCTATCTTTGGCCGTTTTCTAGTAATTAACCAAAATCTCCATTTGCCCATATAAAACCCATGTTAAACGTGCAGTACTGAAGATTAGTGGATGCAGATACACTATTCCCATGATACTGTGCGTTTAACATGAGTTTTATATAGGCAATTGGAGTTTTTGGTTAATTACTAGAAAACAACCAAAGATAGACGGTAGATGTAAATTTAAAAGTTGTTTGTTTTTACAAGACCTTAAAAATGATACACAATTTTACATATGTTGCCATTTAAAAATTTTCATTTACAAGGCTACCGGTACCAACTTAAAAATTAAAATCATAGAAAAAATATTTAGTTTTTAAAATGTTGACTTGTTGTATATCAAATTAAAGCTGAACCTACGAGGATTAAGAATTTTCAAACAAAACGAAATTAAGTTTAGTGGTTTTCAAGATACAGGGTATTCTGTAAGTATCAATATTTTCTATAAAAATGGCCGCCATTTTGAAACGGACAAAGATAAATGAGTTCTGTTTTCACTAAATTGTTTGTCTAGTCTAGAGCTTTAAAATGATGCATAATATGACATATGTTTACATTTGAAAACTCTGAGATTCGAACCCATGACCCCCAGTTTCTTGAACACCCTGTTTTTTAAAAATGGTAAAAATATTTTTACGTTGTTCCTTGGGTATGAATTAGTGGGGAAAAGTTTTGTTTCATCTCTGTATGTCAAACCATTCGTCTGTAATCTGTTTAGGTCAGCTTAGAAGATTCACCCTTATATATATAATCATCAAAGTAACTACAGAATGAAACTAGTGGCTTGTAGGGACATAAGTCCCTAAAAATCTCAAATGTAAAACAACATTATTGCAATTCCGGTATTTAAATAAACTCAGAATAACATTACAAACTTTATAAACAAACATTTTATTCTATAAAATATAGATGGTAAATAGGGGTTGGTTTAAAGGAAATAAAATACAAAACAGATTAATTAATTATTTTGATAAACATCAGAAAGGTTATGGGATTGATTGAACTAAAATAACCCTGGGAAAGTTATAAGTAGAAAAGTCGTCAACCACAATCTGTTTAATCAGTACGTTGTTAGAGAGAGAGAGAGAGCAGAGAGAGGGAGAGAGGGGGGGAGAGAGAAAGAGAGATAGCAGATAGGGGCGTTTGATAAGGAATCTGAAAAAGTAAACAAACAAGGAACAACGGCACGACGATACTCGTTTACAGCCTTATTGTGTCGCCCACTACATTTGCACACGTGACCACATTTTGTTTCTTCCTTATCTTTCATCCGTCCCAAAATAGAATTCCAGAAATAGTTTGTTGGTATAATCTCCCCTCCCACACAAGGCAAAGGCGCAGTGCTCAGTGCGCACTGTAGGTTGTCACGGCAACCGTGTGTCGTCATAGCGACGAGCCAATCACGCACTCGCACTGCGTTGTATATTACGATACGAATAGCTGTCAGCTGTGTTAGAAAGACACCGCGATAGGTGGTAGTTTGTCTCTTTCCTATCTCCTCAAAATTACGATCGATAATCATTGCGTCTTGATTGAGCTGAGGTTCGTGCTTATCAAACCTCGAATGCATGAACAACGTAGAATTGTGATAACATTGTTTTCAATTACGACCCAAATTAAGTGGTTTTTTTAGTTTTGACAGTATTAAAAGCTCGGCTCGAACTTCGAGCTTTTTCAAAATGCCTCGAGCCGAGCCGAATAATGAAAAGCTCGACCAAAAAGCTCGAAGATTCGAGTACTCGCACACCCCTAATTAATATGAACCTTAGATGTTGGTCTTCAAACTCAAAGACACTGATGACACAAATACCATTGGAAAAAACGTCAACTGAGAATCCTACTGATGTCAATGTTCTCGGATTAAGATGGAACACCAATCTTGACACTCTCCATATCAAACCTGTTAACAATGACAGAAACAAACCTATTTCAAAAAGACAAGTTTTAAGTACTATATCATCCGTTTTTGATCCCTTAGGGTTATCATCCCCTGTAACACTGAAGGCTAAAATCTTTCTCAAACAGTTGTGGGAAGACAATTTGGACTGGGACGAATTACTAGACGAGCCTAAATGTATGGAATGGGATATTATATGTGATGATATTCTCAAAATAACTGAAGTTTCTATTCCTCGATTCGCAGGATTACGAGCAGATCATGTAGAGCTCCATTGTTTTATGGATGCATCAAAGGATGTATATTCGTGTGCTGTGTATATCAAATTAATTAATAAGGAGACTGTCAAAGTGACTCTCATGTTTTGTAAAAGCCATTTAACCCCAAAATCAAAACATTAAGAAAATCTCAGCTGTCTAAAGACATTGCTTTAGCACATGCGTTGTCTGCAAAGGGTTGGAAGTCCATGTCTCTCCGGTCTGCCTCTCTCAAAAGATCATCCACCACTAAAGCCCACAAAAATGGCGAGATGACTTCTCCTTGGGGGCAACCTTGGTGTGCTACGATTGCTGCAGAGTAGCCGCCCAAATCAGCTGTCACCTCCCTACTGTTGAGCAGAGCCATAATCCAAGCTGCTATGTTGGAGGGGATGCCCCTGCTTCTGACTGCTGCTTCTATGGAGTTATAACTCACATTATCAAAGGTACCGTACCCTGTATGTCCATGAAGACCCCTGCTAGGAATTCCTGGTGCTCTAGGGTATCTTCAATCTTTGCCACTAGGGTACTTAGGGCCGTTGTTGTTGATTTGCCCTTCACAAACTCATGTTGACTCACACTAAGGGGACTGATTTCTAAGTAAACGTCCCTAATGTGGCGGTTGATTCCTTTTTCCATAATCTTTATCATGAAAGACAACAGGCATATAGGCCTGTTGGCTGGGCTGGGTCTCTACCTTTTTTCAAGAGAAATACTGCCCTTGATTCCCTCCAACAAATTGGGATGTATCCTAGGGCAAAGCTGCCCCTGAACAAGGCTATCAAATGATATTCTTGGATGAGTGCTGGGAATATTCCGTCCCCACCTGGAGACTTGAAAGATCCGACAGCCCACCTCACAACCTCCGGTTTGAACAGCTTGCTTGAGAATCTTCTCGCCATTGCTATTTCCCTAGGCGATTTCCTGTTCCAGGGTATCATGTGTTGTATCTTCAACCTAATGAATACTTCTTCAATGTCCATCTTGTAATTGATTTCTTCATCCAGTTGTGTGTCATTTTTTATTAGTTCTATTTTCTCTTGTACTTCAAGAAATTTAGCCCATGTTGAATCCAGAAGTTCTAGACGTTCGTCAAATTGCCTAGGATCATTTCATGATTGTTCAACTTGTTTGTTAACTTAGTCAACAGTGCCTTAATTGTTGTTCTTATCCTTTTATAACTTTTTAAACGTGATGTAATGTCAGTTGACTCCATTTTGGTTTTCCTCATCGCCAGTTATCAAGTCCTTAAATTATATAAAACATGATACAAGAAAATGCAAAACTTATTTTTATTCAACCATTTTAACTGAATGAAAAAAGTATAAACACAAATATAAACATTGCAAAACAATGACATAAATCATGTGGTGTTAAGAAAACATATGTTGTTGACAACTCCTTATTAAGAGCCATCCAAATGATCACACAACTAACCTGGTAGTACTTGGTGATGAAGGCTCGCATAGTAAGTGTTAGAGTGTTCTTTATATGAGACAAATATTGAGTAGGTTGAGCAGAACAATCTGGGTTGACACACCTCTCCAATACAAGAACATCTCCACTCTCCTGAAAAAAAGTAATTAAAATCACGTTATGTACAAAGCAGCCATCTAGAAATCTATCAGTTTGTATTGAAGTTTCCTTACTGAGCACTGGTTTTTTTGCTCAATCAACTAACTATGCTAGATGCTTTTAGCGAATTTCCCTATAGGGAATAAGCTATTACCGTAGGTCTCATGATAAGACTTAGTCCCGGGACCGATTTACTTTTTCATTTTGATGTTCCTAGAAGCCAAAAACACCATCCGTTCAAATTCATATATATATATTTATATATATATATATATGTGTCCGTCAGCACGATAACTCGAGCAAAAATGATCCGATTTTGATGAAATTTGGTACAAACGTGTAAACCTACGTTCATTCGAACGAGTTCGCGAGCCAGCATGATCGGACCATGGGGACGGGGTTTTATGGGGGGATTTATGGGGTAAAAATTGGTTTTTCTCATTTTTGACCCTCAAAACATAAAATTTCCCAAATTTCTTCTAGACCATTTTGAAGAGCTTAAAAAAACAAAAAATTCAGTATATTGAAGTGTTTTTGTATGGTTATTGGTTACGGAGAAATTATAAATTGAAAATCTCCATGTTATTCTTATGGAGAATAAGTAAACTTTTGTAGTTTGCTTGTTTATGCATATATTTGGATCAAACTTGGCCAATCGATTTATTTTATACTAAGCTGTTAATATTTTACTGAAAAACACACTTTATTACCCTGTAGGCAGCAAACCTAGGTACTCGTTAAACCTAATGTTATTTGAATAGATTTAATTGAAAATCAAATCAGGCAAATGGAAATTCGCTTAGTCTGCAGGTTTGCTGCGGCGGGGGTATTTTTAGTTTTTACCTCAACTTCTAGCAAAATAATTGTTCTCAGAAAGTCTTGGATAAGAAAATCTATATAATTAATATGCTACATGAAACCATAGATAAAACATACTCCCTTAGTAGATTTCTCATCCTTATGGAACAGCTGAAGACAATTTTATTGTTAGTTCTGTACGGTTTATGTAGAGGTCGTGTTTTGTTTACAATTTCTTTCCCGTTATTACAGCCATTCAAAACCTCGTTTAACCAAATAATACGATCTAATCATAAACAATAACTTGTTCTCTAGTTATATAACCAAACAGTAAAGCACAAATCAAGAAATTAACCCTAAAATAATAGAAACAAGTTTCGTCGACACTAGCGCCATTGTGTCACGTACATGAACTAGACACGAAAAACGTGCTTCAAAATTTACAATGGGATGAGAAGTCTACTTGTGTTGGTTAGTCTATGATGAAACTTTGTCGGTTGAACTCCTCCGCCATTTCTTAACCGATTTTATCCATTGACGTCTCATTGGAAAGAGTGTGTCGCGTAGATTTGCAAACTGGCCTTACATTTTTGAAAAAGTCCCTTGAGCTCTGCCCCAGTGGCTTTGAAAGTTTCCATGTTATCCTTATGAAGAACATAATTGTTTACATTTTGATCAGCTGTATAATTTAATTGCTGTTATTTATTTTTCAATTCAATGAAACGCATTGAGTACATTTATTTACTATTTGAGTTTGTGTAAAAATAACCCCCAAGACGGATCGTGTTAGTATGGTTGTATCTTAAATTTGTATATTTATCGTTGTTTTGTGTCGCTATGACGGGTCGTGTTAGCATGATTGTAACTTAAATTTGTGCATTTATCGTTGTTTTGTGTAGCTATAATTTGTTTATTTGTTGTTTTTTCTTTTAAATGCCTCTGACGCGACGACAACGAAACATAGACAGGAGGCGTAATTGTGATAACGACCGCAGCTACAAAACAGTGGCGCGTAATAGGCATCTCAGTGATCGCCTGACCCTGGACAATCTCAACTATTAGGTTACAAATGCGCCCTAACACTACCCCAAAACAACTTTTCGTTCTCAATTGGCCCTCTATCAATGACCTGTGTTGCCTGTACAGCGAGGCATTTTAAGAAGGAGAAAACCGGCCGGAATGCTTTAGGTTTATCAATAACGAAGATAAACATGGACTGAGCCCATGTAGCACAGATGGTTGGGCCAACGTTGGCCAACTGTGGGACAGTTGGTCGATGGTTGGTTGGAGCTTCCACAACCAACCAACCGTTGTCCAACTGTATATCTCGTAGTTGGGCCAACCAATATTTACAACTGTGGACCAACATCGGTTCATTGTTAATGAAATACATTAATATGCATTGTTGGGTATCATACATCAAGCCAACCGTTGTCCAACCGTTTTTCACTCCGTTGGACCAACAAAAGATACTTTTGTTGGACCAACAATGGTCCATAGTTGAGTTTACACGACTTTCATTCTCTGGGTCTAGCTTTCACAACATAATTATAATAAAATATCTGGTTTTACAATACCTTTATCAGTTCCAAAAGTTTCCAAAAGTTTTTGGAACTGATAAAGGTATTGTAAAACCAGATATTTTATATATTACAGTTCCGGGGCTACAACAATGAATTTTAATAATTATAATAATGCAAATATTTTTTTAAATTACTATTCTTTAACTTATTTGCAACAATTTAAGGGGAAAGAGTAATTAATCATATAACAGTCAATTATAATAGCATTAATAATCTAACGGTAATTAATTAATCTATATTCAAATACCAGTATCCTCTCTAACTCAAAAAAAAAATAACTACTTATGATGCCTTAACAGATTAACAGAATCATATTATACTGTGTAGTATCAAAAATGTTTTAAGTATTGCGACCATTGCAACTGTCGGCTACTCTTTCACCACTTGAAAACTCTCTGTATCAACAATCACAGATAGCTCAGTGGTAAGGTAAGAGGCTCATAAGTCGAAGGACCCGGGTTCGAGACCCGTCTGGGCCAAACAATTTTGTTCCAGCTTTTTTTCAAAATTTGTTTTTATGAACTATTTAATCAATTTACTCAACTAATAATTATGCTTTTCGTACTAAATCTTTATTATTTTGTGTGAAATAATTTTGGTTGGGCCATTGTTGGACAAAGGTTGGCTGGAAAACAGTTTAAAGAGGTGACATTTCTACCGTTGGCCAACTGTGTGGCTCCACAATTTACCAACGTTGGCCCAACCATCTGTGCTACATGGGAGGTACAGACCAGTAATCTTTGAGTTGACTCTTTTAAAATCATTGTAAATATGACTGTTATTCATTTTGAAATAACTCCTGTAATACTTTGCAATTGCTCGAATTCGAGCAACATGTACACTAGTACTTAATAATATTGAAAAAAAAAATTTTTAACCCGCCATAAATAACCACAAAAACTGATTGAAATGTTGAAAAAATTAATGATTTAAACTAACTTAACTAGATTTTAGCGAATTTCCCATATAGGGAATAAGCTATTACCGTAGTATTCATGGTAAGACCTGGACCCGGAACCGATTTACTTTTTCGTTTTGAGATCCCTAGAAGCCAAAAACACCATCTGTTCAAATTCATATACAGTCTAACCTTGATATAACGAACCTCAATATAACGAATTCCTTGATATAACAAAATTTTTTGAATCCTCTAGAACTCTCCATAAGAGACTATGTATATTTTACCTCTACATAACGAACAAACCATAACAACGACCTTGATTTAACGAATTTTTTGTGATTTTGGCTAAAATAAGACACCTCAATATAACGAATTTATCATTGTCAGAACCTCTACATTGCGAATTTAACCTCTGCATAACGAATTGTCTACGTCTTTCCCTTGATATAACGAATCCCCCACCCCAGTATTGTTTTTGGAAAATCTGTTTCTTTATCAAATGAAATGGAAAGGTGACGTCATCGCTTGCGCTAACATTCGTCTGCTCCGTACACATCTCTCTGTCTGCTGTCGCTGCGCACGCAATGTTGCAACTGAGAACTGATTTCATTCCCTGAGGACTGATGACGGGGTCTATCCATATCAAGTGATCCAACAGGGGTTGCTTGACTATTTTTTAAATAAATAATATTTTTATCCTAGATACCTTTATCAATTCTGGGTTCAAAAGTGATTAAAAATTTTTTTGATCTATTTTGTTACTCCTACGGCGGCCATTTTTGTTTTGCGGAACACACAAATTTTTGCTCATGTAAGGGTTTGCGTTAACTTGCACAACTCGGTAACCATGAACACTAGAGTGATGAAACAAAAAGCATTTTAATCTGAAAGAAACAGCCTAAATATTATGTTCTGTACATATTTATTGACATGTGTATCAAAAACAGTTTTAAACCCATCTCAACATTTCATAGGAAAACGGAAAAATTTCAACTTTTGAAGGCGTATTACCAATGGAACGAATAAAATCTCAGACTTGATTTTTTTTGTGTGTGTAGCAACTCAGTAGGACTGTTTGTATTTCAAATATCAACCATGAGACTTAATTCCTTTAAAAGTTATCATTTTTCAAAAACTGAAATTTTTTGAAAAATTCAAATTTTGAGTCTCAATATCTTTGTTGGGACAAAGTTTAAAAATCTGAAATTTTTACCAAAAACCCCTCTCATGGTTGTCATACTGCTGTATGAATTTCATCTTTGAGATTTACTTTTAAGCTAAGTTACAGTATCATGAAAATCACAGAAACCCCATAAGCTTGCCAACGCGGCTAGTACTGTAGGTAGCTTAAAAATTAATTTATAGGTGTAGGTAATTATTTTATTTAATGTAAACTAACCTAACTTACTTTAAAGTAATGTATAGCCTTTTCTTGCAAATTTCTTGTCTTATGTGAAATTTAAAAAAAACTTTTTATCAGATTATTTTCATTCAGGTTTACATATTTTTTTCAATATGCCTAAATATTTTGAACTAATTTATTAATTTATTGAACCACTTTCATTTTAATAAAGAATATTAGAAATTTCACATACAAAAGCTGTTTGAAAGACAAGTTCTTAAAGTATACAAATTTTTTTACTTGTTAGTGTTTTTTGTTCTACTTTGATCATGCTAATTAGGAAGTTTGGATGTTTCTTCATTCAGTTTGG